AAAGTATGTCGCCTAATTAAAGCCTTATATGGACTCAAGCAAGCGGGGAGGCAATGGTACAGAAAACTCGAACTGGAACTCAAGAACCTAGGGTTCAAAATTTCAGACGCGGATCCATGCGTTTATACTCTAGAACACCCAGAGAAAAGAGGAGACAACATTATTTTAGTAATATACGTCGATGAAATTTTAATCGCCTACTCGTGTCCAAATAAATTACGGCAGATAATCGCAAAATTAAACTCAAAATTTGAATTAAAGGATTTAAGGCTACCAAAGAGACTACTTGGCGTAAATTTTATTTACAAGAGAGACGAAATAATACTAAATCAGGAAGAGCTGATAAACGACTGTTTGAAAAGGTTTAACATGGAAGACTGCAAGGCAACTTCCACACCTTTGGAAACGGGAAGAACCCTTGAAAAAGCAGAACAATGCGATCAAACACTGCCCTACAAAAATTTGGTTGGTACTCTCATGTATGTGGCAGTTGCAACACGACCCGATATAATGTTTGCAATTAGTTATCTTTCCCAATTCAATGATTGTTATGGAAAGGAACATTTTACTTGCGCCAAAAGAGTATTACGATACTTAAAAGGAACGAAGAGTGTCGGCTTGACATACCGTAAAACTAGTGAACAGTTGGTTGGTCTAGCAGATGCAGACTGGGGCGCTTGTAAACTCGACAGAAAGACATTTTCGGGTCACTGTTTTAAATATGCCGGGGCTCCCATAAGCTGGTCTTCCAGGAAACAGAAATGCGTAGCGCTCTCAACCGCAGAGGCAGAATACATAGCACTCACGGAAGCGGCTAAAGAAGCAATTCATCTCAAAAATTTATTCAAAGATCTCAGAGTCGAATGTAATACCATCACAGTTATGAGTGATAATCAAACTGCTATAAAATTAAGCAAGAACGCTATGGTGACTTCTAAGTCGAAGCATATTGATTTGAAAATGCATTTCATAAGAGATTGCGTTCAAGACAAAGTAATAGAAATCAAGTATCTGCCAACAGAAATTATGGAGGCAGACATATTGACCAAGGCTCTGGCTGGTCCAAGACTATTGAAACTTCGGAACAGCCTGGGACTATCATGATGAACTTGCAGTTCAGTGAAGAGGAGTGTTGGTGCTGGCCACCGAACTGTCAAGCTTTTATAATTTCTTTATATGAACGTCTTGTCAATCGCTATTCTCTATTGTCTACTAAATTGTTTATCTTGTGAAAATATATTTTATTAATTAATTTTATCTCATTACTGCTTATCATTTTACCGCGCTATTTCAATTGCTCTAACATAGACTAATTCGATGTCCGAGGTAGCTGCCAGCTCTTCGGTCTCCAGTGATGTCGACTAACCTTTTTGATATTTCCTTAAAAAACCTCATAGCGCTAGGACCCCACGGACCAAGGGTCTCGACACCGAATAGGACAAAATCATATTCATTTTCTTCGGAACCTTGTCTAAAGGGACTCCTTTTAGTAATATATCGGTGCCAATTCTGGCGTGATTCTCTAAACTTAAAACTAAATTTAACATCAGTCTCTCCTTTTCATTCTGTATAGAGAATGACAAGGATATACTGCTGTCAAATTTAAGTTTAGGTTTAGAGAATTATGCTAGAATCGACACCATTTTAGTTATTATATTACATTTTTTAAGGTTTTTAGTTTAAGGTTCATTGTTCCTGTATATATTAATGTACATATATAGTATGTAATAATTTATGTAATTTTCTATGTTTTAAATTATATTTTAAACAAACATAATGTTCATTCATCAAGAACTGTTCATTCAAATATCGTTCATTCTTTTAATGTCCCATCCCTAACTTTGTGTTTGTGTACGCTCGAACAATTGCATAGTTTCATAAAAATTGTTAGCGTGTGTTCGTTTTTTGGAGTTTACTCCTTAAGAATAGATTTGCATATATAAGGGGCCCGGTATGAGAAAAATGAATGACCTCGTTACGTTTTTGGTGCGCATCCTATGTCACGCAACTTTGACAAATAAAGATGACGGATTGACATTAATATTTTTTTTAAATCTGAACTGAATTCAGATATTGTTTCTGATAGAGCAATGGGGACAACGAGGTATGGTACAACCATTGATGCGGTATTTTCAAGAATCGTGAACCACGTGTCTACGAACGTCCATGTGTCTTATTTTAGTTACCATAAACCACTTGTCACTGTAATTAATAATGCAGACAATGGTGTCGATTCTAGCATGATTCTCTAAACCTAAACTTAAAATTGACAGCAGTATATCCTTGTCATTCTCTATACAGAATGAAAAGGAGAGACTGATGTTAAATTTAGTTTTAAGTTTAGAGAGTCACGCCAGAATTGGCACCAATGTTGATTTAATTAAAATTTAAAAAAATGATAATAGTCTGGTAATAATAATTACATAATTTATCAACATTCCTAATGATATATTTATGCACATCTGAAATTGACTGTTGTAAAAAGTTTAATGTAAAATATTTCGTCGATTAGTTATAATAAATGTATATGAAATGAATAAATATATATTTATATATGTATATTAATTTCATTAATTTGTTAATTTACCCTTTTATACAGTATCAATCTTTTTTAAGTTAAATAAACTCTTTTTGCGTCTGGTTAGACTATCGAACTTAAGGAGTAAACTCCAGTCGTGCGTCGGAGCTGACAAACACAATTTTTTATTTGTTTGAGTGAGGTAATTTTTGAAGTGTGCGTTTATACCAACAACACACTCGTGTTCGTGTACGTGTGTACCTCGTCCCGCGCCAAAAATGGTGAAAAATTTGTTCGGCAAGTGAACGGTATGGCGTCTCCATTGGTATATTCTCTACGGTTGAATCTACGGTTTTTCTTAGAATTTATATTTTAAAATTGCGTGTTGATTTGCGTTTTCCGCCATCAGGAATGTAGGTTACCTTAGATATAATAGTATAAATATGGTTTTGTAACGAAAAAACGAACTTTTAGGTGCGACAAAGCCATAGAAACTCATTTGTTACTGGCCTATCGGAAAAATATACGCCCCCACATCTACTGCTTCTTTTTCAGTAACGCCTCCCGATTTTGAAAATCGGACCAGGCAACACTGACATAATCTTAGTAATCTATGGTGTGTGGTTGTCCTGATGTGCATTCGAAGGTTCATAGCGCGAAGAAATACTCCAACGAACGTTCGTTGAGGCCAAAAACGAGCTTCAGAGGATCTAATGAGAGGCAAAGGAAGACTGGGCGAATCGTGGAATGTCGTTGGCCTTTATTCTACCAGCGGCAGCGGCGCCACATATGGGAGGAGCCTCGGAGCGCAGTCGCATCTAGGGATGTCGTAAGTTGAAAAAAATATCGATATATCGATACATCGATATTTTAAAAAATATCAATATCGGCTTCGATATATCGCGAAAAAAACATCGATATATCGATATATCGGACCAATTTTCCCAAAAATATAATTAGGTCAGCCTAGCACAGTAATAATAGTTCAATACAAATTATAATTAAAGAAAGAATTATCAAAGTACTAAATTGCCTCTACACTACATGACAGTACAGTATCTCACGAAATATGACACGCGGAATAATAATGGAACGAAAATTATCTCCCAAAAAATAGACCCTATTTTCGAATGATGAAAATGATTGCAGGGCCTTTCAGGTGCCATCTTTCGTAAACAAGACTAGACAGTCACACACTTCCACAGAATATAATGGAAATCAGCACAACCAATTGACCAGCGAAACAGATTTACAAATAATAGACAATACCTAATACAACATAGATCATAGATATGTTGAATATCATTAATCTGTGATCCAGTTACGATTTTTCCAGATACGAATTTAGTTAGATCGTGATATGCCGCTAATAATTAAAAAAATATCGTTTTTGATACGAATTTCGATATTGGTTATTTTGTATCGATGTATCGATATATCGAATCAAAATATATCGGCAAAAAATATCGATATATCCAACAAAAAACATCGATATATCGACACATCGATATATTTTCAACAAGCCTAGTCGCATCGCAGACGCAGAGCGCGTCTTGTGCGCAGTGTGAAGGTCGCTCTGAAAGCGACCCTGTTAGAACGAAGTCCGAGAGAGGAGCTGCTGCACACTGAGCGCTTCGGCTTCCAGTAGAAACTGGAAGCCGAAGCGCTCGTTAACAGCCGCCCAGTTACCTATGTGTCTTACGACGCTGATGCACCAGAAGCCCTTACTCCTCTCTACTAAGGAGGCAGGGAAGGACCTCTGAGTCAGTTTCATTCGGGGATGTCGTCGTTATCTGTGACAACAACCTTCCTCGTGGCACCTGGCCCCGCGGGAGAGTGGTAAGATTATTTCCCGGCAGAGACGGGATAGCAAGAGTTTGTGACATCCAAACTAAAGGAAGCCTACTACGCTTCTACTACTTTCACCAAGCTGGTGAAGATACCCACATGGAACTAATAAGTACTACGTACACGTAGTACTTATTAGTTCCATGGATAGCCAGCAGTAGTGGTTCTAGCACTGAAGGGGGGGATGTTGCAGAACCATTTAGGTTTCATGCTCTATAGTGTATTTTATATTCTTTTTAATATTGTTTGCTTTTGTTTCTTGATGATTACTTATTCAGAGGTTTTTTGTCAATAAATTATATTTCTACAGTCCACTAGAATCTTTGATTCCTTTACAGGCAGCTTCAAATTTTAGTTTTTTCAAATAATACTTTGGAACAATGTTAAGAACAACAAGAACAACTTGGAACAACTAACAAAATGTTGATGTCGATTCTGGCATGATTCTCTAAAGCTAAACTTAAATTTGACAACAGTGCATCCTCGTCCTTCTCTATACAGAATGAAAAGGTGAGACTGACCTTTAATTTAGTTTTAAGTTTAAGAAAAGATGATAGACTGTTTATATGGTAAGTCCATGCTTTCATTAAATAAAATATATAAAAAACTCAAAGTCAAAATATGACTGTCAAAAGTCAAAACATGGACATTCATATCTTTATTTCTGTAAGTGATTTCGCACGAAAAATCTAAATCGGCGACACGGTAATAGGAGTAGATTATTTTTACTCAAATAAAATCAATTTATTTTATGTGTGCGACGAAGAGAATCTTAAAAGTCCATTTAAACCGGATGGTTTTTTTGTTGCGACGCTGTGGTGAAAATTAATTGTGTTGAGTGTTTACTGGGCTTAAAACTCCGATTGTGAGGTAAGTGTTTTAATAGAACTAAACCTTTAAAAGAAACAATATTGTTCTATCCAAATATTTGCGCGAAATGTTCTTTTACTTTATTATGAATAGTTCTTTTCTACAACAAAAATATACAGTCAAGTTTATTGCGTACCTACGTACATACTAATTAGAAAAATCTTCCACGAAATAATTAAAATGATTAAGGTACCTACTGGATATACTGTACTTCCAGGGCCCAAAAGTAAAAACTTCACAGTTTTGTTGGTTGTAATTTCGCATTTTTGTTGTTAAAACGGTTTCTGTTAACCACATTATTAAAAAAAATGTCACACTTATGCACTGGTAGTTTTTTGGAATAAAATATTGAAAATTTTTACTTTTCTTATCAAGTGGTGATACTTCACACTAGGTTAGGTTAGGTTAGTGTTGTGACCATAACGCGCGAGCCGAGCGAGCAAAGCGAGCGTGCCGCGGCAGCGGCCGGCGAAGCGCCAGAAAAAAAAACTGTTAAAAAGACCTTTTCTACAAAAAAAAAACAAGTATCACCTTTTGGGCCCTGGAAGTACAGTTTTACCTACCTACTTCCATTAATTGTTATTCAGATAGAAATCAATACATAATGTACATATTTTGCAAAACCGACTTTCTAACAAGACAGGTGTTGGAGGCTCAGCTTTCCATTATCTGTAGTTGAGTTACGAGCTGAAATTTTTGTCACGCAAAGTATTAATTATTGGAAACACTTACACGAAATCTTTTTAGGCGGAAACGAATAGTACTCGAGAAAAATATTAATGAAAATTAATATTTTTGTAGGTTATGAGTAGGGCTGCCATCTCTAAAATGTGGCAACCAGGATAAGACGCGTGATAACCCCGGATTTTGAAGCCCAGAACCTGGACAGACCAATAAAAAAACAGTTAAAAATGTCACAATACAACTTTTTTATGTTGATCTAGGCAAAAGAGCTAGCTAGCGGTTTACCTCATAATAAGTGATCACTGCTGCCCATGGACACTTGCAGCACCTAGGGCCACTCATGCGTTGCCGTAAATTTTTAAACCCAGGCTACAAATAAAACCCCGCCCGGACGCTCCCCTGATGCCCCGTAAACTAGGACAAATCCGGGGAAGCCCGGACGGATGGCAGCCCTAGTTATGAGTCAATTTTGACAGCAATTTTGATCAGTGCTGCCATTTTTTCATGCAAAAATAACATGTTTCTCGTTCTCTATGGTAAAAATAAGTTTATTATGTTGGTACTATTGTCAAAATATAACAATTTACCCCCATTTTGTGTATGTTTTGAGATTCGTCAGGCAGTCTTTGTGTTTATTGGTAAAAAATATATTTGCTATTATTTACTTGATAAATAAAAAATAGTATGGGCTCAACACTTAGAAAAAAAGGTAAATGTGGCTTTACAATAATCTTTAATTCAGAACCGACTTGGTCAACCCCGACACGCCGTGGTCTTGGTCTGCCCTACCCCTAGAGTGTTTTTTAGAGCCCGGAGGCGCGGAGGGAGAGCAAAGGGGAGTGAGAGCAAAGGGGAGTGATGCTTGTGACTTTTTCACGCAAAGGCAGAGCTGCTATTCCCGCAGCGCCGGAGATAAGGCGGAAGTACTGGTTCTTATTTCCCTAGTCCTTGCATCCTAAAAAAATTATGAATGTTTAGGTTAGGTTAATTAAAAAAAGTCGGGGAGACCTTCCCCTCCCCCCACATCAAAACCACCCCAAAATTCAACCACAGCTAATGGAATTAAGTACCAAAAAAACTGTTAAAAAAGATCTTTTCTACAAAAAAACAAGTATCACCTTTTGGGCCCTGGAAGTACAGTTTTACCACCATACTATGCAAATTATTAACGACAACTTTCTAGGCAAATCAAAAAAATACTGGTTAAACTAACCAGGATAAGAGCATGCTAAATCACTAATAGAAGGTTACTTAATAGAAAATCTCTAATACTTTTTGAGCTTCTTGGAAACTGTTGGGCTAAAAGAAATACTTAGTGGCGAATCACAATAGATCTTATAGGTTGCAGTGAGTATAGTTCCATTAGGACGGCATAGCCCCAAAAATCTAAAATAATAATATTTTTTCCCCAAATCAAGCACCATAAAGGCGTGTTATGGCATACTAAATATAAATTAAATAAATAGCAATTACTTAGGTATAAATGCTGGTATTATAAATCATACAAATATTTTCTCCAATGGGATTGAAACGTAGGACCTCAGAGTATGAGATATTAAAAACTCAGCCAGGTTAGATAGTAAAACTTTGAGATGTTTGCTGTAATCAACTACCACAAAAATATCAGCTGTCTTGCACACACTGTTATTGATTGCTTGGTCAATGAGCTTCAGTGAGCATAACAATTAAATTAGTTTTTTTCTTTATACTTTGACAAAATATAAAGATAAAGATTCTGTTTTAAAATAATAATTATACAGGTTTTGCATCTGAATATCCACTGTTAATCAAACAGCAAACATTCAAAATATAATGCCAACTGCAATTGCATTTGTGACACTGTGCAGTCTGCTCACTCCATTAAAATAACTTTGATGTAATAAGGTGCAAAATGGTGCAGTGGTTAGTGCACTTATCCTTTGATATAAGGTAAACCCTATTGTTTGTAATTTTACACAAATAGTTTGATAGGAAGATTGCTCTTATGCATGCTCTTCCAATCTGAGCATGTCCGATGGATCTGAGTTCCCACCAGTTTACTACTTAGTTGGCATGGCGCTGACTCCATAATATATTAATTGCTAAAGACAGATAAACATTTATTAGTTTTTGCTTTTCAGTGGTTTAATTTTCATGTTAAAAAAAAACATTATTTAATTTTGTGGCTATAATAGGGTCATGAATGATTTTTTATATATTTTTATACAGTAGTTTATATCCTCTTTATACAGGGTGGTCCAGCTAGTGACGTCATCAAATTTTTTTTAGATTCCTCGCACCTCCGAAAATACCCCATGTATGTTCCGCGATTTTTCTTAGTTTTCTAGTTATAATTTTTTTTTTGTGTATTTTTAATGATTTCTGCCAGCGAGGTTTCAAAAATTCTTATCTTCTTTCGTAGTAGGTATTTTGCAGTATTTTTTTTTGTGACGTAGTTGTCTTGAATGTTGTTTTAATAAAAAAAATATCTCAGCTTCCTGTAATTACTTAAAGTTACTCAAAAAAGGCTTGAAAGTTGGAACTTAAGTTTTTAGTAGGATTTACTTAAACGTTCAACTTCAATTTAGAAGTACAAAAAGGAGTTTCCATAGGTTCTAGCTAAAATTAAAAACTCCGCACTCCGCAAACTACCAAAAATCATAAAAAAAAATGTACTTAATCAGCCTTTTTTTGTTGTAATTGGATTTTGAAGGCCGATAGACTAAAAATCATTGAAACATGACTAAAGCATTAATAAATATTTTATCTACTTTTTATCATTGTTATGGTAAATTTAACTTCAAAATGTAATTTCAAATTAAATTTAATTGAAATTCCTGTAAAATAACTTTAGCATGTGTAATTTTACAATAATTTCGGTTTAACCACTAAGATTTAAAATGCGTACAAGAATTGAGACAAAAACTTACAGAATCGGAAAGAAAAATAAAGCAAGAATATTCAAGTAGCTTCAGACAATTAAAAAATAACTTTTTAAGACATTGTCAATTGTGTATTCAAGTTGGAGGAAGGAGTTTTGAAAATTTACTGCAATAAATAGTAATTTTTCAGTAATTTGTAGTTTTTATTTGTATCAAAAAACAGGTAATTTTCCAACTATCCATTTTGATCTTTATTCTTGTTCACATTTTAAATCTTAGTGGTGAAACCGAAATTATTATAAAATTCAGCATGCTAAAGTTATTTTACAGAAATTTCAATTAAATCTCATTTGAATTTAAAAAAAGTAGATAAAATAATGTCTAATGCTTTAATCGTTTCAATGATTTTTAGCCTATCCGCCTTCAAAAGCCAATTACAACAAAAAAAGGAGGCTGATTAAGTACATTTTTTTTATGATTTTGGTAGTTTAGAAGCATGCGGAGTTTTTAATTTTAGCGAGAACCTATGGAAACTCCTTTTTTATTTTTGTATTGAAGTTGAACGTTTGAGTAAATCCTAAAACTAAACTAAAAACTAAAGTTCCAACTTTCAAGCCTTTTTTGAGTAACTTTAAGTAATTGCAGGAAGCTGAGATATTTTTTTATTAAAACAACATTCAAGACAATTATGTCACAAAAAAAAATACTGCAAAATACCTACCTACTACGAAAAAAGATAAGAATTTTTGAAACCTCGCTGGCAGAAATCATTAAAAATACACAAATCAATTTATAACTCACAAACTAAGAAAAATCGCGGAACATACATGGGGTATTTTCGGATACCCCCAGGTGCGAGGAATCTAAAAAAAATTGTTGACGTCACTAGCTGGACCAACCTGTATAAAGAGGATAAGAAAACGGTAATTTTATAAGTTCACCCGACCGGGGATCGAACCCGGTACCCCGCGAGATTGCGGGGTTTGAATGATTACAAATACACTGCCTTGCTTTTGCGATAGGTATAAAAATGATGAAAAACTACAAACTTATAATACGTACACGTATACAAAACACCACAGTTGTTTTGATGGCTTTTTCTCAAGCTTTGTACCTCCCAAACGTCCCATGAAACTTAAGCGTCATAAAAGTTTTTCCACTCAAACGTCCGAGGACACTAAACATTTATACGAACAGACGATACAATCCTATTATCTATGAAATTCCAGTTATGAGCAATTCAAAGCATAGTTGGCGGTCATCTTGAAGTGAGCACTGGCGTTGTGGGTTAATTCATTATTATTATTTGCAAGCTATTTCATTTAATTTAGAAAGTAAACGAAAACTTCGCTATTCACTGCAAATTTTTTAGTGCAAACAGATAAAGTCTTATCGAAAAGTGGTTTTCAAAATCACCTGTATGTAGTAGTAGGTGACAGGCTAAACCTGTCTCTT